TTCTGAGTGTGGATCTACTTGGAAACATGAATTGTGGTTCTGCTTCGTGCAGAAGAGCCCGAAAAGTCTTGCTTTCCACAATGCTCAGAGGCAGTTGATCACATGTGATGGACTCCAAGAGTTTCTTTGTCATAGACCGCTGTTTGATGTGATTAGCGTCAAATTTTTTCTCCTGTGCAGGTTTGAAGAACGAGGTCAATTTGGGCTGTGACACACAATTCTCACGCTTCTTTTCCTCTGCAGCTTTCAAGGTCTCATTCTCATTATTTTGAACTTTGTGAACTCTTCTGAGATGCAGAACTAGGTTAGATGTTGCCTTCGTCGATGCCGAATATGACTTTTTGCACTGTAGACAGTCGGCTATGAGAGTCTTGTCAGTGGACTTGGCATTAACAGAATAAAACTTTGTCAGTGCAGCTGACAGTTGAGGCATTTGCACGTCCTCCTCATCCCGATCGAATGGTCATCAGATGTCGATATGTCTTGTTTATCCATCTGCATCATGAGAACCAATGTTTGTCAAACTTTAAAGTTCAAACCGAGTTAACACTAGAATGACAAGTGCTTTCTTTATTTGGCATATTTGGTACTACAGTGTAGTAGACTATTGTCACGCTCCCTAACCACATAGTACAATATTTAAATTAAGAAAAAAAATTCGACAGGATTTTTAATAAAATAATTATATCTTAATTCACCCACCATGTACAATGTGTTTGTTGAGTTGGGGCGGGCCGTGATAACATAGGAAAACTCAAGAGCTCACGGGACTTGGGAGTCACGGGCACTTACGGCTTGTATTCCGTTTCAGCATCTGGGGAATTTGGATCAACATCAAGCTTGTCGAGGCAGTGTATGCATTCCATGTTGCTAGTAGAATATGAGTTGAATAAATTGTCGTATGATATCAAACACCATCAGTAATCAAGGCTTTATTCAACTCATAAATCCATATACATCTGCAACAGAACAAAACAAAACCCAATTAGATCAAGAGAACATTTAGAGTAAAGGTAAACACAAACATAATTTATTCCATAATATGACATTCACCCCTGCCAACATAATCATTCAAACAATTCCATGTGAGAGGTCCAATCGCTTGGCAGTCTCGTGGTTGGTCACCCTATGATCCTCATGGACAAGCTGGTTAATTTTCTTGACATTTTCATAATTTCTCTCGGTGGATGGCAGCCCAGAACCATGTTCATTTTCAAAGGAGGTGCACCCTTCTCTGAAGTGCTTGTGCAACCTGAAAACTTTAGCCTTGGACATTGCTTCATCTTTGTAGGCTTCCTTGATCATTTCATAGGTTTCTGCACCATTTTTCCAAGCCTGAAACAAAATCTGAGGCATAGCACTGTTCAATACTTCCTTCCATGATAATAATATTAAAAATAATTAACGTTTTATTGAAAAAGTTCTGCAGCCCGAAGGCTGAAAATATACATTGGACTCAAATGACTTATTACATACATTGGTGGTTAAACAAAAGCCTTCATTAGAGAAAGGTAAAGGAACATACAGTGAACATACAGATCAATGTAGGTGTTGAACAGCAAACACGTAGTGTAGTAACTCCCTTCCAGATGGGTTAGGAGGGACCTCATGTGGTATAGTAATTTCCTCACAGATGGTGTTATGAGGGGCATCACGTGGTGTAGTAATTCCCTCACAGATGGTGTTATATGAGTGAGGTTTGGTCCAAGGCCTTCCTATAGTAGATGGATTAACACATCGCTGGTTGTTGTTGGGTCTCACGGGCAGTTATCACTGGGTACCGGGGACCTCACTGTGTGAAGATTAACTTGGGTACAACTCAGCTGTTACTGTTGAGTTGTTCTCACTGACTTAAGCACTGATTAACTTGGGTACAACTCAGCTGTTACTGTTGAGTTGTTCTCACTGACTTAAGCACTGTTCAACACTGGTTCCATTCCTTTCCTAAATGAAATTGTAACTTCTGGCTAGAACTTGTTGATATTCCGGTGGGGAGGAGGGGTTCAGCGGAGGGAGTTGGTGTGAGCCAACTTAACAGTTAACCTGGCGGCTCCCAGAGGAGCGCCAGGTACGTCTTGACCCTTTGGTGGTCAAGGATGTATGATGAGGGTTGAGTGGTGACTGGCTCGACTGTGGTTGGTTGGCAGCACCGATTCCTGCCAAACCAAAGCAGTAAACAGATTATACCCAAGGTGAGTAACTGCTGGGGATTCGTTTTGATATCTGAAGAGAAAGATTTTGTAAAGCCAGTCTCGTTATTTTTAGATCACACCTCATACCTTGAGTTGTCACCATACAATTACTGTACTGTAGTTGGAAACACCAAGAGGACATTATTTATCATTTGTTAAAAAAATTACAATGTATATACTGTAGCAAGATAATAAAAGTGTTTTATGTATATTTATGTACTGTACGTATGTGTAACTTGTGTACTTTGTGGTTATTTTCTTAACGTGATTTATTTTCTGACAATAAATGTATTTAGTTGTTTTGTAGTGAAATGCAAAAAAATTTTTACACTATGTTACCATGCACAAAGTGAATGGTTGTAAATAAATTTATCAAGTTTCAAGGTTTATACTAATTATCCCAGAAGTCTTTGGATTATGAAAACAATGTCTACATATTACTGTGTTATTTATGCATTGTTAAGACACCTAACATTCCTGAACATAGTAAGGCAAAGAGCACGAACTTTGTTTATGTTAGATTTCAGAGGAGATGGTATCTATATAGGCACTCAGGAACACGGTCTCTTCAATGGGTTTTACTACAGAAAGGTCCCGTTGAACAAGAATTTGGTATAATAAGCATAATGTTTTGCAGTACAACAATTCAATGAACAAGGTTGTACAGTATTTGGTTTAGCAAGCAAAATTGAGTGAACCAACTCGCATTATCCTTTTTGGAATCGGGCTAGTTGTCCTTGGTCATTGGCTGAGTGGTCAGCCAGGCTGTTGCACTTGTCGACTCATTTTTTTAGACTGTGTCTAGATAATGTGGCAACATCTGTGTATCATCATGTTCTCTGCTTCTTGAACTTGGCATTACCTTTGTTTGCTTGTTTTTCATTATATGACGAATCCAACATTCCAGAGCAATAGACTTGTATAAATGCTGTTTGGTTTTTTTTCTTTTACTAGTGATGTGTTTGCTTTTTGAGCTTGAATTGAGATACAAATACTTGGTTTTTTCTTTATTCTGGAAACATAGCTGTTTTCTTTTAACATTTATTATACTGTACAGTGGTCCCTCGGTTAACCAGAGCCTCGGTTAACGAGTTACCTTCCATAAGATTCTTAATTTCGGTTAACGAGCAATCCCTCGATTAACGAGTTTCTTACGAGCCGACCTCAACATGTTTTCGCTTGCATTTCGCGGTCCACCAGCTGTAGTATTAGTCTGCCGATACAGTAATCGGTTCTAGGGCTTATAGTCCTTACCATTTTAGTAAATATCAAGAAGTTTATACTATTCAATAATTTTAAAAGTTTAATATAAATTTTTTTAGTCATTTTAACAATTATTGAACATAACTGAAGGTAAGGAAACTAGTTTTATGCGCGCCATCCAGCCTGTCAACACACCGAACAGGCGTTAGTCTCTGTCTTTTCAGTGGAGGTAACACCTTGCTTGAGACTCTTCAACTAAATGCTTTTTTTCTGTGTTTGCAAGCAAATTATTGGTCATTTTGAAATTTACTTTACATATTGACACTATATAATGCAGTGCAGTGTTGATTTAAAGAAAATAATCTTGAATTACACCAAGAGAACTAAAATTTTATGGGTGAAATGGTGCCATGGGGTGACTTCTCTTCCACCCCAATGCCTTCTCTTCTCCCTTCTCCTCCACCCACATTCTAATTCCCATCATCAACCAGGAGCCTTCTACATACACACCTCAAAGTAAGTGTACTTTTCTACCTTTTTTGTTGAATTTAGGCAATTTTCGGTGAGCTGGAACCAATTACCCAGAAACCCATTGAAACAATGGTTTCGGTTAACGAGCAACCTTCTAGAACGGATTGTGCTCGTTAACTGAGGGACCACTGTATTTGGAAAGGAGCACAGCAGTCAACTGATACACCTTTTGCCTCCTGTTCCATGGGATGGTGGTCTAATTTCCGGCTTCACCCAGTTGTAAATGGGTTAACAAACTGGGGAAGTAAAGGCAGTCAAGAGCAGTATTGGCCATGCTGCCTCCTTGTGTACTGAAGGCTTAGTATGCTGTGTGCTGTATCATCCACACTGTCTTCAACGGGCAGACATGACTATAGGACCCACTTTCACTGTTACAAATGGACCGAGAAAATATTACATGTGGGATGGATTTTGCTTGAGCTTCAAGAAAATGCTAACAAGAGTGTACCTATTTGAGTAAGACAAAGTTAATGTATATAGAAAAGGGTGAGGTATTACTGCATTTGCATAATTATTAACCATAACTTTTATCATCAAATAAATTGCAAAAAATGCAGATGATGCTTAAAAATGAATACCAAACTTGATTTGGTTGTTGTCAAGATTCAGGGGATTGACTCGTCCACCCTACCCACATCGGTCTGAAGTCACTTTGCCACCAAGGGACAATGTTGCCTCTACGTTATCATGAAACAAAAACCTTTACAACCAAATTATTTTTATGATAGAAACTTGCTCCAGAAGTGAAGTAAAATATTATGTTGAAGTGAGGGTCTCAAATTTTAGGTTGGAAGGAAGGGATCATAGATAGCATATTCTGGATGTTCCGAGAGTGCATATTTTTTTTTTTTTTTTTCATTCTGTAGTGTGGCTTACAATTGAGGTTAAACGTTTATTGCATGAAATATGTCAAACTCAGTGTTGGCTTAAGATTATACAAATGCAGTATGAGAGTGGCTGGTGTATCCCAAGTAAAGTGTGCTGAAATTGTGGTGTGGAATGAGTTTAATTTCAACTGTACTGTAATATGTGAGAAAACTAGTATTAACCATTTTGAATAAATAAAACAAAAAATTAGATTTAATTTTTTATCAAATACAGAACAAGTGTCTGGTAAAATACCCCTGTACATGGAAAAAAAAATATATAACTAAAACTAATAGTATACACAGTAATTAAACTTGGCACAGGTTGAGGTCCAGGACTCTTCATCATTCAATATTTAACTTAGAATAATAATAATCACTGCATTTTGGCTACTGTACCATTAAAATCTAATATCTTCAGTTCTTGTGTAGGCTGGATTAAGAGAGTGAATCCTCAGTGGTAAATGGTGAGGGAGAGAGGTGCAAGCTCAAAGCATACAATGCAAACAACAAATAGAAATGCAGTTCTCCACACACTAGAGCATTTTGATAAGACATTATGATACTGTGCTTGTGCCAACTACTTGACTTGGGTGATTAAAATAAATTCTACTAATAAGATTCTGTCATGGAGCTGTGAGGACCACTGGTTAATACTGTATCAGGTATGTGTAAAAACATAATGCATCTGGTGCTATTAACGTAGGAAAGGCCATACAAGACACACGACTATGTAAACACGGTAATTAAGGCCATAAAATTAATCTACTTCCCAGAAACCATGTTACAAACTTGACAGGTTATGTACAGATACAAAATAATGGGGTACAGGCAGACCCCAATGTACAAGAGTGTTTCGTTCCAGATCAACTTCTCGTAAACTGATTTTCCATAAGTCAATGCAACATTTCCCAGCAGACTCCAGTTATATTGGTATATGCCAAGATGTGTTCCTAGGTAAAGAAAAACCTTCACCAAAATTTCTTAAAAAAAAAACTTATCACATGCTTTCTGATCTGCTGCCTCTTGGATGCCCATTCTCCTTTATCTTTCTATCTCGCACCTTCCCCACCTCGTCTTTCTGGCTGAGTCTTAGTCTTTCCCATACCTCTCCTACCATCCACTTGTGAATCATACATACTTCTGCTAATCTCTCAACATGTTCATGCCATGTAAGCAGCTTGGTTTTGACTATACAACATTCCTTTCACTTCCAAATCATCATTTTACGTCAACATGTAAGAAAATTTCACCTCTGGATGCAGAGTTTCCAACCTGTACCACCACAATTTACATTGATTTGCCTTTTTTAATTTCAGCTTCTGATATACAGTACAGTATTTACATCCACATGATCATCTTTGATAATGACATGAGGTGTTCTATATGGTAACAAGTGTGCAAATTTAGGTTTTGAGATATTGAGCACCAAAGTTTTAAAAATGTGAGTAGCCATCCATTATATTACACAAAACAGAATTATTTTCTACAGCTGCCCATGTTTTTTTCTTACTTAGAGTAGCCTGACACACTCGGCATTCATGTATCAGTTGGGTTAGTTTTCACCCAATGTTTCACTCTTTCAGATGCTTGGGGTTTCAATGCTTTTAGGATTGTCTGTACATTACTCCCCAGAAAAACTCTTTATCAATGCAAGAAATGTAAATTTGACAAGGGAAAAAAAAAAAACACCATCACAACTCGATGCATATAACATAGGCATAACCCCATGCAGCCCAGTTCACACTGATTATCATACAATTTTTCTTTTTCTTTTCTCGTTATAATCACCATTAATCATTAATTCTCATATATTTTATACATTATTTACTAAGACTCCATACAGGCTGGCAGTGCCAAACTGTAGTAAACTAGAGCATTAGAAGTAGAAGTTTGTTGATATTTATGGATTTATTAGTTAAATAGTAGTCTTTGGTTACCTTGGAGTTTCAACCTTGCTTTACTAGCTGTTCCCACCCTGTATGTTGGCATTAGGAAGGGCATCCAGGTGTAAAACTTTGCTTCAACATGCCTGATGGCAAAGTTCCCTTTAGGTAATCATGGCTGACCCATGCAAGTGTGGGAAAATGACCATTAAATAATAATGATGATGGTGAAAATACTGCACAGGTAAAATTTATAGTAAAATTTACCTCAATGTAATACTATAGAAGAATGTACACAGTAATACTATATAACAATTATTCAATCTTGGATTTTAAGAATAAATTTGATAGTACATGGGAAGTAAATTTGATAGTACAGTACATGGGAAGTGAATGTGGTTTTATCCTCAATGTCCGGGACTGAAACAATAAATGATATTTCATGGATTAAAATGTTTTTCATGATTTAAGACATGTGTCCCCCAAAATGCATGGATTTCAGCTTCCTTGAACATATGTGAAAATTAGAGGTCATGGGTCACAAATGGGAAGTTGGCACTGGTATACATTTAATAAATTGCAAACAGGAAATTTGTGAATCCTGAAGCTGCGAATATCAAGGGTCTACTGTGTACAGTGTAATTAAGAGTAGCAAAATCATGAATATACATTATATATGCCTTTTAATATATACATTGATATTTTTGCTACTTCCCACAAGAACTCTAAAAGCTTTCAGTTTCGTTTACATTTTGTCTGTTCTATTACAGCAACTTAACACTCTTGTCCATTTGATTATGAAAATGTCGCATCATCACTAGTTTAGTTTATAACTCGGTTTAAATGGGTATACAGTATAGTACAGTATGAATGTAATGGATAAATGTCTATTATGGACAAATGGTAATATGGTTAAACCAATGAAGCCGAAAAAATTTAATGAAAGCAGTAGTACTTTAATTTTAACATGCTTACCAATGACTCCTCAGACCTTAATTACCTACCCCTAAACACTGAGGACTCACTGATGTGAAAATTTAATACTAGAGTCTGATTTTGTTGGAGAGTTATTGCATTTCATATGCGGACATAAAAAAAGTATCTTGAGAATAATAATTATAATCAAATGCTATAGGAACTGTAATCCCTGTTAATAAGTTAAATGTACTTGTACCATCAATTTCAATCCAAATAAATTAATGGCATTAATCACAAACCTTCATAAAACTAAATATTTTAAAACATTTTGTACTCCACAGCATCATGCAACAATGGATGAATTAAATCATATAAATACTGCATAAAAGTGTAATAATGATGAGATAAACAGTTCACCTCACAATAAGCATCATCAGGTCACTGGCCAAAGATTTACATATGTCACCTTATATTCAGATCTTGGTCTGGTGACATTACTCAACATTATACAGTATGATTCTGCAGTATTATGTAAACAAAAAAATACAATATTCTTCAAATTAACAATCACTCGGAATAAACTATGGTCTAAAATTAGACAAAAATGTAGAAATAAAGATAAAAAATTAAATAAGAGCTTCTATAAATAGAATGCCCCCAAAAGTTATTGTAGAATGTTTCTTGTGCATTCATAAAATTCATATATCGTCTAATTATCTAACACGAACAACAGAAACCATAATCAAAATCACATATCACTTCACTGTGTAAAAATCAATGGATACATACCATTAATAAAGGATGTATATAACGTATGCTAGGGCTACAAGTGAGAAATACTGTACATAAAGTATTAAAACTAAAGAAAATTTTGAATTTCCTAAAGTTCCCAATCACTAGAGATCACATAGGTTATGGTGTTAACAAATTTTCTTCACAAATAATTTATAGAGGACCAAGTTAATACCCTAACCATCAATATGGTCTATTGTCTCATTTATTGCTATGGCACATAAACTACTGTAGTACTATACAGGTTAATATTCTTGCTCATGTCAAAATATTTTCAATTTACACAATAACTATTAACCACAAATGTTACCTTAATCTGTTTTCCTTCTACTACAGTCAGAAATATTCCAAACTACCGCTTTGAAACAATAATCCTCTAAAAATGTTCTGAAACCTCACAGGAGACTAAAAACTCCTGTTAATTGGGAGGGTCAAGACTGACCAAAACATGGTCATAAGTGGGTCATTTTGGAGCTGGCAGATGCAGCTAGTAACAAGATGCAAATGACTAGGAAGTTTAATCCTCACCAGAGACAAACATAATGCATGTTATACTCCTGAGGATACAGCTTATAGCAAGTACTTTACAGTATGTATGTTATACATAAGACTTTGTCTTGTTATGATGCTTAATTTCTATATCTTTAAGCATGTATAACATATTTATGCTCATATTTCTTTGAAACATGAATCAGTACAATTGAAATTATTACAGTACAATATTAAGTTTCTATAAGGAAACTACAAATAGTGTATACCTTACTGTACAGTTGTCACCATTTGCAATGGGTACAGTGGCTGACATGTTTTGTGAGATGTGGCACCACTGTATGTTTACATGTAGTAAAACTAGCAGAATGGGCAATACTAGCCTCGCTATAGTAACCACACCAAGGACGCTAAATAAGTAGCTCCTCTTCTATCTGTGAATGCATGCATTTCCTGCATGGTTACTGTTTAAATATAGATTATCAAGTAGAATGTCATGGCTCGTATCTGTTCACTGGTGGGCAGTGATGCCACATCTCTCAAAACATGTTAGCCACCGTACAGATATTAATAGTAATTGTTGTATTGGTGATTACAGAGTTAATACAACCAATTTTTGGCTCAGGATTTTGTTATACAATATGCTCCTCTACTAAGAACTTTCAGAGATATAGACATAATCGTTGAGGGAATTTACCTGCCAGTGTGGGTGAGACTAGATTATATTGAAGAAAATGCCTGTACTGTAGGGTACCGGTATAGCTGTGCTGTACTTCCTCTATACCTGTATTTCCATTTTTTGCAATATGTATATCTATGAGTAAAGTTGTAATGGAGAGCGAGCCTCAGGAAAGTAACTAGTACAGGAGCACCTGTATATTCCTATTGATTTAATTTCTAGTCACTAAGCCAATCATATGTTAAAACAACTATTAAAGCTGATAATTAAATTTTAAAAATTACAACTGCATTCAAATAACCAAGTACTGCATACGGTAGTCCACAATACTTTTAAAGCTGCTGCTGCTCTCACAAAACGAGATATAATCTGCAAAGATAAAAATCAACAATGAATTTTTAAGTCACACCCATACATTATACACATTTATTCCTCCATTATGAACTTTTGGTATCAAAATTTCACATTGCCAAAATAGACAAATATAGTATAGCAATTGGGTTTGATTTGACCTCATATGCAATCCTCTTCTGGTACTCTTTTTCACCCCCTTCTGATGAGGAAATGTAGATGATGATGAAGTGGCACATCACTTGAATTTCCCAGTTTTTTCTTATGTAAGGCACACACACACACACACACACACACACTTATATTACCCCACAGAACACAATTTTTTCTTTGAACTGAATTATCGTTTTTGTTATAATATGATCTGAGTACTATAAACAGCTCCTCCCCGATTTACGACGGGGTTAGGGACCCAAATCCAGGTCTTAAGTCGAAATGGTCGGAAGTCGAAAATGCTTAAATAATACATAGAAAATCTAAAATGGGTGTCTCTTTTTCTTCTCAGCACCACAAAACTCTCACTTTTAAGCTTGCCAGCCATTTTAAAGTGAATTACAAACGAAAATTTTGTCTGTACTGATGTTGGGACTCGAAAATACGTAATTTGACAAAATTTTGGTACGACTGAGGCAGGTCGTAAGTCGGGGAGGAGCTGTATATTTTTATATTAATGACTACTGTATATATATATTTTTTTACACTTTGTTTATAAGCCTACCCAGAAAACATCACAGATATTTCACTTTGAATTAATGGAAAAATGCTTTTTTAATGCATCCCTTCCATAATAAAGGAATAGCAATACTGTATATGTAGTTGTGGGCAAAAAGGATTCAGCAGGGAGGGGTGGTATATGGGAGGGTAGGTGTAGGTGGAAACTTGGCACTGTCCCAGTGTCCCATAGAGGCGGTGGGTAAAAATTATAAATTTTCTTTTACATCACTTTTGTGTGTGTGCGCTATAAATAACTCAATACACCAAAACAACTAAAAAAATGCTGTATAGGTTAAATGTTTGAGGAAATTTTTTGCCATCACCTCAATGGTGTAAATGAGGAAGAATATAACTCCACACATGCAATATTGTTTTCAATGCCACACACGCATCAAAAATGGCTGAAAATTAATGATGAAGTGGCACACAGTAGTACAGTAAGTACCCACTGTGAAAGGACACTGAAAAATCTTAAAATATTTCATGATGTTAAATGACACACAACTCACTTTACACATTTGTGGGAGGTACATTTTTTATTAGAGTTAACCCCTCCGGCTCTGATGATGTGTCCTTCTCTAACTCGTCTAGCCGTCCTCTGTTGACCACTGGGTTCTGGGCGTACATGTATGTTGCAAATATGACGAGAGCTATGGCTACGGCAGTCCACCAGTTAACTGCGATGCCAAATATGACCTGTTTGAAGATACGTTACATGTCAGTTATTAAATGTACCAAGGACTGAAGCCTTTAAGCATAGCCCCTGATATCAATGACTAAACACTCACACCAAGAATTATTTTTAGCAGACACAAGGAAAGGCTTTGAATTAGTTGTTAAGTCCTACATAATTATAATACCCAATTCCCAGTCTTTAAAAGGGGTTGGCAACAGGAAGGGCACCCAGCCATAAATTTTACTTCAAATTTATCTGATGGCAGGGTGTCCGGGCTGGCATCGGGTAATCATGGCCATAAATCAGTGGTGGTGGTGACGACAGTTAGTATCATGATGTTATATATACAGTACTTAAGAATGTCATATTAGTACTGTAGTTATGACAACATACAATAATACAAGACACATACAGTGATGGCTGTCGACAATCAAGAAGTATGGTACTGTTATCCTCCTGTTGTAGTTGTTGTTATACCAGGGTGTCCATAAATGATTACCCTGCTTAAAACATGAGAGCATACTGTTTTTAGGGTAATCATTTATGGACACCCTGTCTAAGAAATACATGAATGTAGTAAAGTGATGGAATGGATAACAGGTGTATGATAGAGAAATATGGAATGGATGACGAGGGTTATGACAAAACTGTAATGGATAATTAGCGTAAGACAAGGAGAACTGTAAAACAAGGAATGACAGCATGTTAAGTTTCGCTATAAGTGAAAAAGATGGCAAATTTGAATGTAAATATTACACAAAATGAAATTAATGAATGTAAGTATTATAAAGGACTCAGTCTGCTTGCCACAAAAAGTGTACAGTAACATCATCATCAAGAGAACAAAAAACAAAACAATTTATGTGTGTTTAAGACATTTATCAATCTAGAAAAATCATATGACAGCAGATAGAAAAGCTATAGAATAGAGCAATGGAAGGTAAGAGTGACAGTGGGAGCCCAGGAAGATGGAAGGATACACTAGAGTTGAGAGAGGTGGACATCTAGGAAGTGGCAACAAATAAGAATGACATGGGAGCATGCAAGTTTGTGATTTTTAGGAGAAGGACTTAATGCTGATGGGTGAAGCAACAAACAAACCTAATATGTGAGGTCTTGTAGAAGGGGATAACCATAGCACAACACACTGATTACAACATTTTGCGAATAAATAACAAATCACTTAAAATATCACAATATTCAACGGTATACAGGAACAGAAATCAAAAGACAAAATGCAAACTTACCCATGAAAGAACTGCCGTAAACATTAGTTCAAGTGCAGATGCAAATGTTTTCAGAATGGAATTTAAGTTTCTGAGGAAGAAGCACGTTACAATGCCCACAGCTGCGTTATTGAGGATAATCACCACCACAACTGGCTGCCACACCTGCAAACATTATAAACACAGAGAAATAGATGAAACTGATAAAATCGTCCTTCAGTGCAAACGACTAGTTAGAAGAATAAGTATTAGGCATATCCAAGTATTAAGTGCATTATTATAGCATGTGGTTATTCCCTTCCATAGCATTCAGTGGCCAGTAAGGTTGAAATTAACACTTATTAATTGGGTTAATATCCTATTTATACTCTCCTGGTCTATACTGCTTGGGTTAATGCTCTCGGGGTCAATACTTAACAGATCAACACTCCTCACTTAACGGTTAATAATTCCTTGAAACTCATGTCCATTATTACCTAGATCAAAAAAGGTTTACTAGTTGTGTTCTGTACTCAGGCAAGATCTTTGTCTCTCACACACACACAGGCCACATTCAACTTACAAATGCTATAAAATATAACGCACCTGTGAAAGTGATGTTGTTGAAAAGGCAGAAATCAATTCTCCTCTATACAAGAGGACAACTGCATTACATATTATGGAGTTAATGTTCATGAAGACATTCTGCACCATAATGTGAACCTCAGCACCAGTATCTTTCAGTAACTTCTCATTATAGACACCAGCCAGGCAGGAGCAAAACACCTGTGGAGGAATGTAACTATGTAATGATGCACTGTACTTGATGTAGTTATAGTCATGGAAAATCACTTCAGCCAAAGAAAAAAAGTGATTCTGATCCCAAGTAAAAAAAATCAAATAAATATTGGAGACATGTTGAAACTGGCTGCCATATGTGATGACACTGGTAATGTACAGTACAGTACTGAATAAGGATTTTGTTATGCAGTACAAAATGTATATTCACATTTTATGACATGTTATGAATACAATGCTTTTTCTGGGAATGCTATATGTGAGGTTTCACTAAAGAGAGAAACTATTGGCATCCTGTGTACGAGGAGGAAGGCATTGTAATATGACAAGTGATTTTGTGTTGTGTGATGTAAGTATCTGTACTACAGTACTGTACTGGTATACAGGTACTGTACTGTAATTGTATTGTATATTTTCATTTCATAGCTTTCACTTGCAGGGATAAAGTGTAATTGCAACCTATTACAGTAAAAGTTTTTTGGAAGTAGATGATTGCAAATTTTTATATAAATTTGGGTTGATAGATACTGTACTGTATTATAGAGCTTCTGCCATGGTCAACCCCCTTGCAGGGAGCTCCCTTGAAGTGTCATTTGCAAATACTATATATTTTTAGAATACTGTACGGTACATGTTTCATACATTTTTCTATATAAAGTTTACCTCACTGTACTGTTATCATGTTTTCTATGGCTTTATTATTCTTTTTTCACACAACAGATTCCAATATACAGTATTTCTAATTTGGAGAATTTTCTATGAATTTTCAGTCACATTGCAAGTTTTACATCTGGAGTATTGTCACCTTTTCTCCATGATATTCATAGAAAATTTGGTCTTTCATGGAAAAGGTTATATTAGTAAATTTAGTTTTTGCTGGAGAAATGACTGATTGAGAACCAATCTTTTAGTGCTTTATACGGTCTTAAGGTTTTTCCAGTACATTTTCATAAAAACAAACAAATTTCATATTTTTTTTAATACACCCATAGTATAAACTAAAGGTTGGAAACTAACAACACACTTGGTTAGGTTATCAGAAGTGCAAAAAAAAAAAAAAATTTTTGCAGACAATGCATTTACTGGATCTTGTGGATACGTTATTTAAATATTTTACTTGGGCAAGGTCATTTGATAATGGAATACATCACACAGTAAGACCGACAGACTGACAATTGCCAGACAAACAGTGCATAAGTTATGATTAATGGATAAATTGAAATCTACAGCTTAAAAAGAAACACAGCATTCATTAATAAAACATTACAACTAATAAGTCACTAGAATAAATATGGTGATTTTCACAGACAGTGGTGTTACCTGTACTAAGAGAAGACCGGTGTGGAGTGAGACAAGGTTGGAGAGCATCACTGAGAAAGGTACATCACTCTCTGTAGGTGATAAATCTGTTTTCTTAGATGTACTTAACTGCTTCACTATACATCCTATTGTCAGTATGATGAGGGACACCCACTGACGTTTGCTCAGTTGCTTTTTGAAAATAACCTAAGGAAGAGAAAAATATATGTAAGTGTTCCTGAAAATATTACAGTATTTTGTGTAACACAAGTCACCCTTTATGTTGTTAGTAATTATTGTACTGTGTAAACTAAAGTGTGCCTCCCCTGAGAAAAATACTCTGAATGACCAAATTGATAATTGTCTTACAATCAGACAAATATTAGGAAACACGGGTGGACAAATATCATTTACAGAATATAGTGTAGTGTACAGTACTGTACTGTATAACAAAGTCTTGAAGAATCCACTTGTTCACAGTAGAATGGAAATTAATGGGCATAGGAAAACTGAATGAAAATGTGCTTAGGGTAAGGCAGGAAGGCATAAAAGAAAACCTCAATGTGTAAATTCTTTCAAAAAAAAAAAAAAAAATAATGGCTTCCGTACCTGGAATATAACACCAGTTACAACGACTCTGAGCTGAAGTAACAAGAAGTATGTGGTGGGGTCAAAAACGGCGAGGTTGACAAAGGCCAAGTTGTTGTAGAGGCAGTAGAGGAGGGCTGGCACCATGTATAGCCCCAGCACTGTAATGGGATTGGGGTTAATGTTTAGGTTAGGTTTGTGTTGTATTTTTTTTTTTTTTTTAAGTTAGGATACATTTAATTTGGGTCATCAGATCAGGGTGTGTTAGGTCAGGTCAAGTTGTTAGGTTTAAATAAATTTAGGTTATGTTAGGTTTAAATAAATTTTGGTCAGGTCAGTTTATGTGAAATTAGTTTGTCAATTCAGGTTATGCTAGGTGAAATTAGTTTAGGTTAGGACAGTTTAAGTAATACTATATATTATCTTTGGGTAAGTTTTACTGAGTGAAGATTAGTTCAGGGTGAGGTCAGGTCAAGTTAAGTTATATCAGGTTAAGCTGCCAAACTCCGTCCTCCAAGTGACAGAGACAATAAACCTTTTAAAACAGAAACAAGACATTACCACCGGGGCTTCCTCACTAGGACACTATATGTACAAGAGACAGGAAGAAAGAAAGATGAAGTGAAATGCTATGAAAAAGAGGAATAGAAAGAAGAAAATACTCGAAAGAGAATAAAGCTAAAGGAAAACAAAATGAAAAATACATGAAACACATTTGGAGAAGAAATAGGGAAGGACGAAAATAACTAAGACAGCGACAGGAAACAGACACCACTAGCTATGTACACTACACAGCCAGTGAATAAAGTAGCAAGCCAGCCAACATGTACTGATCTGTATATACATATCAATTTCATGTTAACTGGCTCCCGGCCCCAACCTAATCGTACAGTATAAACAGTACATAACCATTAGGACAGTGGTCTCTTTGGGTTGATTTATTGGGCCCCATTAACATAAGTGGTTAAAAAAGATGAGGCAAATTTGACCAGCTACCTTCTTCTACACATACTGTACTGACGCAGTTACTCCTGCTGATATACAGGGTAAATTTGTTTTGGCGAGTTAAATTCTAACTACAGCTGTGATCAGAGGAGAGGAGCCACAATTTAAATACTGTACTTCATTTTTTTTTTTTTTTTCAATTTTAATGCCAATGTATCCCAAGTGACCTATACTACCAGTTGTTGGAAATTTGGGAAGGCAATAACTTGCATACAATCAGACACAGCAACTTACAAACAATCAGATAACACACAAACTTACAATCAGATACAGTACAGACAACAAAATTCAGAGTCCAGGTACTGCACAGTTGTTACAGAGAAGTAATATGACAATGTCCACAGGCCCTTGAACACTATATTCCCTTCCAAGTTTTCAAGTGAAGCCTTACCTTTAATGCTTCTTTACAAAATTATTAATTTTGTACCCAAATTTATCTTTAATGTTTATGAGGTGAGATTTTTTCTTTTAAATCTTGTATTAAGCAAAACATTTACATTGTTATATACTATTTCTTCTGATGTTACAATCCTCACAAAATGTTTCTGACCTAATTTCCTCGAAACTCAAAAGATACCACCATCAAGAAGTAAAATTTCATACTAGCAAGTCAAATACCCGACCCTACCTTTATACCCTAATGACTGTATTAGGATTAGAACCAAATCCTGATGGCTGAGTTAAGTGATACTGGAGCCAATTTGACTATTTGCTGAAATGAAAGACTGTAATCTGAAGTTTTTGTTTTTGAGATAAAAATGTTTCCCCTGAATAACCAGCAGGAATTTCTTTGTATAAATTGGAGACTTTTAGTGTGCAAGTCAGTACTGTACAGTATAAGTCAGTGAAAAAGCACATTCTTGCTGAGAAAATGTGTGATGGACAACAATAGGCACAATAATAATGTTACTGTACGTATTGTACTTACCTCTGATGTTAGTCCTTATGTCAGTGAAGAGTGTGGATAGTTTATTACTGTAAAAAAATGAAAATCGTGTTCAAGTATTCACATGAAATGGAATTTATGGCAATTACTGTATGCTGTTTTTACTTTACTATAAATTTTGATAATGGCAAATTTTAAAAATGGTACCTGCCATCTAACAAAATGTTAACCCCAGAATAGATAAATGGGGCTTTGCTAAGAGTTTTGACAGAACCTTTATATGCAGTAGGTCTCGAAGTTGAGAATTAATGAGACTGTGGCTTAAATCCTGTAAATCATCACAGAAATAGAACTAAAGTAACTATCAAAATTCAGAAAACAGTACAGTAATGACAGTCAGTACTGTACAGAAATATTTAGAATTCATGTAAGGTCAACTTGTTAATTATTCTATGAGTGATTAAGCTGACCATTATGAGAAAAATGAAGGTTAGGACCACAGGCATAGCTCTCAAACACTCATTAGGTCTTTCACAGAAAAATAAAAAAGATAAACAAGTAAAGATTAAAACAGTCTCAAATGAAACAAGAAACCCTATACGTACTGTACAGTAGTATTTTTTTAATTGGGCTTAAGTACATTACAAATATTTGGCAGACTCACAAGTGTTCAGTTTTATATTGTGCCTCTACTATTTTTCCTATGATAAAAACCTTGAAACCATCCTCCTAATTCTTTCATTGGTGAACATTAGTGAATTAATTTACTCTAGAAAATTAAATAAAGAATATTCCAATTCTTTCATGGTTAGCTTTTGATGACTGATCGCATTCTTCAAAACAGAACATTAAAATAATATGACGATCTCTTTTCTGTCACTGGTGAACTTACCCGTAACTCACTGAAACCCTGAAAACATCCTAAATGTTACTTTGATGGACTTGAAACGAATGAACATACTCTTTAAGATATATTAATAGAGAGGCGACCAGCTTTGTGGCTTCGGTTAGCAGCACCACCGTCACTGTGTTGTAGCTATAACTGTTGTCCGCTCGCTGAGAGGCCGTGACTACGATGCCTGCGAATAGGAGAGCAAATGGTTGGTTCTATATGATTTGATAAACAATACATGGAGAATAGGTACAGTACTTCATAAGATGCTATAAACAACAGATGGAAGAAAAAATAATAAGTACAGTGGCTAAGAATTTTCTAAACAATTTAAAGGGGGGCGGATATTTAGTAAGATTTGACAAATAATACAGAAGCAAAAGTTCTATTAGCCAAAAATGTGTAGTACTGATGATAAAATATAAATATTTATCAAGTTTTCTACAGCTACTGTAACATTGTAACTTGGTTTACAGTATTCATTAACATGATAAATAATTGTACCACCCACTAGAGGGGACCATGCCGAGGGAATTAGGCCAGTGACCTTCATAAGATCCCTCCATTGTTCTTGATCATTTTGTCAAGGAATATTTTGAATCCCAGTACTGTTCTTGATTCCACAGCTTGGGTTGGTAAACTGTTCCATAGGTCTACCAGCCTCTGTGTGAAGAAGTATTTCCTTATATTCGTCCTGTATGATAACTTGGCCAGCTTGTAGTTATGTCCTCTCGTGTTGGCTGTGTGTGACATCACAGAGAAATGTCCCGGGTTTATATTTTTCATGAGATTTGCCCTATAGTACCTTGTCTGAAGGGTTGTTAGTCCTAAGGCTCTCAGTTTACTTGGATAATTGATATGATGTTAGAGCTTTCTGCGAGTAGGGTTATACTGAGGGTTTACTGTACGGTATTGTATTTTTTCAAGGAATAATATTCTGTACAGTATAGTGGGGTTTTTGTGACTTATTTTACTCTTTTGCAAACTTCAACTTTTAGATGTTACTGTTAGGCTAAATTACCGACCACAGCAATAGTGAACAGGCTGTTTTGGGCTATTTTGCTGGCTAATTGTTTATGTAAAAAGAGTACAGTAATGATATAATAGTGGTAGTATTTATTGTAGTACAGTATGCAAAAATACATGACATGATACGTGTGCACAAAAAAAAAAAAATTGGTTAGATTAGGTACTGGCAAAACAGCATGTCAACTATTTAGCCACTGCCTAAATGTTATTGGTAACTACAGTATGTGAACTAAACTGATATGATTTTTGTCATAAAGTTAGGTACATTATTTTAATATTTTAAAATTTTGACAAAATATGGAAATACATTAAGTACAGTCTTCCTCATGTTTTGTAAATATTTGTGTAAATAAATTAACTAAGTACTGTAAAGTACAGTATGTAGTATGTACCGGCAAGTCAACACATGTGGTGAATTAACATTAATTATTCCAGTGTGACTGAGAGGTATATACTGTACACCTTTACTTTACCTTTATCCTCTTTGCCACGGATTTGCGATTTGTATATTTTTTGCAGTCATTTTCATCCTGATAACTAGTTGAAGCATTACATAGCCATATTCACTATTTACATTTTGAACATTTCATTGGATGCACAGAACACCTCCAAAGACTTACCAGCAACTGCTACATTGTTGTACAGTATAAGATTTATTGGGGTAATTTCTGAGAACACCAGGAGTTGTTCGATTTTGTTAATTTTTTACACAGATGTTCTTATTATAGTAAGCACTTTTAAAAGAGGTAACAACTTTTCATTTTAATTTTTTTGTTTTTCTATGATAATAAATTGGTAAAATTTTAGTTTTGGTCATCCCTGTATTTAGATGTCCAACCTAACCTAGCCACAGAGCCCATGAACTATATCTCTTCTAACCCGGGGGGGTGGTGTAAATTCCTAAGCTTCCCCCAGATGGCCGAAACTAAAATATCTGTACTGTACATTAATACCCGTAAATCACCTGTAGTGGGCAGGTAATGAAGTACAGTAAACCCTTGTTATTCGTAGTGGTTAGGTTCCAAGGAATGATGTGAATAGGCAAAACCGCAAAAAGCAACTTATACTATCTTAGTGCACTGCTGTACAGTACGTATACCTATACCAAACAACTAGCCAGAAGGCAGTGCCCCCCAGCTAGGAAGTTAGGTAAGGTTAGGAAGGTTTCTTTGGTTGGTTAGGCCAGATTCTATTAGGTTCTAGTAAATGTCGCCTCTTTTAAAATACTTATAATATGAACACCTGAGGAAAAAAATTACAAAATTGGATAATTCCCTCTGGTGGTAGTGCTGTTCAGACATAACCTTTATGGGATATAAAATGAACAAATCTAACCTAGCATAACCAATTTAACCTAAGTTAAGCTAATCTAACCTACTTAACTTAATCTAACTTACATAACCTTATTTAAGTAACCTAATCTAGAATAAGTTAGTTAGGTTGGTTCAACCTATATCTTACAGAACGTATAATATTGTATTAGCCGGGATACTGTTGCCAACTTTTACTGTGTCCTCTTCGCCACTTATTAACAAACACTTGCATTCTCTTCTCCACTGTCACATTATTCTAGGCTAGATCACCATACAGGTGTCATGGGTTGCATTCAATATGACGCTGTAACCTTCTGTAACTGTGTCACATCCCTGCAATGTATCAATGTTGACAGAATTCCTTAAGAACATAAGTACAAGACATCTGTGAAAGATACTGTGTGCTTCTAATGATATTCTTGAGCTACCTACAGTATGCCTCTAATGATATTCTTAAGCTACTTGCAGTATGCCTCTAATGACATTCTTAAGCTACCTACAGTATGCCTCTAATGACACTCTTGAGCTACTTGCAGTATGCCTCTAATGACATTCTTAAGCTACCTACAGTATGCCTCTAATGACATTCTTGAGCTACCTACAATATGCCTCTAATGACATTCTTGAGCTACCTACAGTATGCCTCTAATGACATTCTTGAGCTACTTGCAGTATGCCTCTAATGACATTCTTTTGCTATCGATGGTTAATAGACTTAATTTTACATTTTTAATAGCATATTGAACTCGAGAACGGTACAAGATCTAATCTAATCTACTGCCACGAGGACTAGTTCATAAAAGTCATCATCTCTCTAATACCATAATACTGTAGTCTTACCTTGATTAATGAATAGTGCCATATAGGCCAAAAAGACGATGAAACTACATGTTGTAGGAAAGAGCTTATCAAATCTTTTCCCATGTTCATAACGATTGGCACTCATGGTAGAGCGTTAAGTATTTCCTGAACAGTTGTTTCCTCGCGACTGACTAGTGGCGAGCCTGTCAACTGCTGTGTTTGTTTACGGTGTAACACTCCCTCTACCGCACCCAAACAAGACTACGGTAAAGATCCTAGTAGTTGATGGCCATGAAATCAACCGAAGCAAAAAGCTGGCTGCTGGTTAGCTTTCTCAAGGGGGTTTTGTCCTAGGGGAGTCTTGTCCGGACCCCGTAGAGCTCATAGCGCCTCAAATTTGTGACAGTAAAATAGTTATGTATGCTTTTTAATTCGTTTCATTAATTGCCATTTAATAAAAAAAAGAGGAGGGGGGGTAGATAACCTTTACTTTCCTTTATCTTTATTCTCTTCGCCACTGCTCGTTTTTTAATGAAAACTGGAATCGCATTTTGTTGCTAATAACTTGGAGCATATGCTCATGGCTGACTGCCTGTAAGTACAGTATACCTCATAATGAAGCGAAAACCCAACAGACTTCCTGTAGGGTTTTCACTTCATTAAAACGTATACGGTACTCGTCACGTTTTGAGATTATCATTGTTATTTATGGCTGTAATCTTCCATGGATTTAAAGATAAAGGAAACATCAAATATATGTGTATGTGTGTGTGAAGTGCAGTTTGTATGTGTGTATAGCTTTGTTTTAATCGTTCATTCAGTTATCATGATGATTTGCTTCGATATGTAACTTTGAACTACAGTACTGGTAATGTACAGTACTACAGGTAGTAAGCTGAGAAGTGGCGAAGGGGATGAGTAAAAGATGAGAATGTATTGAGTTAAATGAGGTTCATCCTGTTGACGTGGTTGGTTTAGTTTGTTTTTCCCAGTTCATAAGGACCATATTTGTTTGGTTCGAGGTTTCACTACGGCCATTGCTGGCAGACTGCCAATTAAGTAACTAACTTTTACTTACTTTTATCCTCTTCATTGATCGGCTCGTTAGCCGCTTGGGCGATTGGTCACGTCTCTGTTAATTTTTTTTTCTTTTATCCTCTTCACCAAATGATCGGCTCGTTAGCCGCGTGAGCGATCGGTCACGTCTCTTACGGTGCCGTCACAACATTTCTGGTAGACTGTTCCAAGAGTTCACAACTAAGGATATCCAAAGAAGTTCATTATAATCTTATTTCCATACACCTATTGTACTAGTTAATGTGTCAATGGTTACATAGACTGACCGAGACTGGTGGATTATGACTACAGCACAACATTCATAGGTTAGTAATACAGACTATCTCCTCGCTGTAGCTTCGCCAGTTATGCCTTTTGTTTTAGGCGATTTTGTTACACTCATGGGCAGTTACAAAGATGTGGATTAAACTGTGTTACAGTATTGGCCGTCTCATTTGCCACACTGAATGGCAGCTGTACATCTTAGGTTGTTCTACATGGCACCATAGTAAACATTGGCCACCAAAATGGGGGGTACTGTACACAGGCCTTTATTACTTTTACTTTTATCCTCTTCGCCACTGATCGGCTTGTTAGCCGCTTGGGCGATCGGTCACGACTCTTTTCCTTTATATTCTTCACCAAAAGGTCGGCTCGCTAGCCGCCCGGGCGATCGGTCACGTCTCTGTCACGCACTGTTGGCAAATACTGGGCATGCACCGGCTCCTGAATGTACCTGAACCCGCTCCAGTGTTGGTCAAGTCTTCTCTTGAAAGAGCTCACACTCGGTGCCGTCACAACACTTTCTGGTAGATTGTTCCAAGAGTTTACAACCCTCACTCCGAAAAAGTTTGCCCTCACTTGGTCTGCCAACAGATATTAGCAGAGCTAGTGTAATGGGAGACATTTCTTAATGTTTGAGCTGTTGCTACTTTATTTTAGTTCTTCAGCTTTATGTTCTTTTTGTTTATTTTCTTTACGTTATACTTCATTTTCTCAGGGTACTTATTGTATTTCTTTCATTTTATCTTACTTGTTTTTCCATCTTATATATGTTCAGTTTTGTGGGTTAACCTGGGAGAATCACATCCTTGTCTATTAATACACACTCTTGTAATTGCTTGATTTAACAAGGCACCGTCAGTAATGACTCCAGCAGAGAATTACAGTATGTACTGTATAATATTCAGCTTTAAAAGGTTAATTGCCTGGTAATGTCACCTTGTACACATTGACAACACTATATATACAGTATATATATATATATATATATATATATATATATATATATATATATATATATATATATATATATATATATATATATATATATATATATATATATATACTGTATATATAGTGTTGTCAATGTGTACAAGTCGTTTGACTTTTTTTCCTGCAATTTTCTTTCCGTTCACCTGTTAAACATGTGCGCGGGTAAGTGTTAGCAGCTGCGTCCTGGCCTTTCAGTATGAATTACTTTGATCACTGGTTGGTGAATCACACATCGTTCTGATCTGGTAATAGAAACATACGCGTTTGTTTCCCAAGGCAAATCAAAATTTTTCTTAACCTCGAACTTGTTAGTTACTGAATATGTTAACCAATCAGACGCCGCCATCCCGCCAATGAACACTTGCGAGAACAGTGTGATATGAACCAGTAGTCAGCCGTACACACCAGTTTGAACTAAACAGCCATTTTTCGCCTCGCCACTTGTGAGCTTCACATATGGGCCAGCCTTTTGTGACAGGTGTTCATTATATATATATATATATATATATATATATATATATATATATATATATATATATATATATATATATATATATATATATATATATATATATATATATATATATATATATATATATATATATATATATATATATATATATATATATATATATATATATATATATATATATATATATATATATATATATATATATATATATATATATATATATATACGTTATATATATATATATATATTGATAAAATCACACGGGAAAATGGAAACAACGGAGTACCTTAGCTTTCGTCTTTATTCAAGACATCTTCAGAGGCAACTGGATTACATGGACAGTGCCTTGTTCGTTCATGTTAGGAATAATAATCACCCCATTGCTTGGGAAAAAAGCTTAGAAGTATTCAAATCATCTTGTGTCACAGAAAGACTTCTGGTTGAAGCTAGTTTGATTAAGGAATTAAAATCAATAAACCTTAGTGATGGTCAGTTCAAAACTGATAATATGTTACATAAATTTATTTGTCAGTGGCCCAAGGTTAAAAATGCTTTGAAAACCTTTGATCTTGATGTATGATAGTTATTTTGTGGGTCCCTTTTTTCTGACCTGACCTGTCTAGTCACGTCATCACCCTTCTCTTAAGCTCCTCTACGTGTGTGTTGGTGTGGGGATTAGTGGATGTCATCATTATGACCTGACCTCATGTTTTTAGGTCACCCTGTATATTTAAGCCTCTCTCTGTCCATGTAATCCAGTTGCCTCTGAAGATGTCTTGAATAAAGACGAAAGCTAAGGTACTCCGTTGTTTCCATTTTCCCGTGTGATTTTATCAAGATTTATCTTATCCACGTTTTCATTGTGGATTTACATGAATATATATATATATATATATATATATATATATATATATATATATATATATATATATATATATATATATATATATATACGTTATATATATAGCAGTGGGGTATGCTATAACGAACGGATCCTACTACGAATATTCCTATAACGAACGGTTTTACCTATAAAATTGAGAATGCTATAACGAACGCAACTCCTACAACGAACGCGGATGAATACCGGACTACTTCGCCTGGCGCATGAATATTGTTGTACCGCGACCACAACAAGAGCGTCAGGCGCCATCTTTGTCTCATTGTGTAGCCAGTGCACCAGTGTTATTGTTGAAATTTCGTCTTTTGATGTGGAAATTCGCGTTATTTGTATAACTATTTTGTTATACAAGTATACAATTGTAACAATGAGTCGTCCAAAGCGAGTGAGAAAGCTAATAACCCTTGAAACTAAGAAAGAAATTGTAAAGAAACGTGAGAATGGAAGAAGCATTGCGAAACTTAGTGATGAATGGGATGGCTAAATCGACTATATGTACGATTTTGAAGAATAAAGAGGAGTTAAAAACTGTGCAAGTGGCTAAGGGAATCTTTAGACTTAGCAAAGCAAAGTGTAATGTGATTGAAGAGATGGAAAATTTACTCTTAGTGTGGATAAAGGAGAAAGAAATGGCAGGTGGTAACATTAGTGAAGCTATAATTTGTGAGAAGGCTAAACAATTGTTTGAGGACCTTAAAGCCAAGACTCCCAGTGGAAGTGATAGTGATGTGCCAGTGTTTAGGGGGACCTGCATGCTGAATAACACTAAGGTAAGATAAAGTACCGTATTTTTTACATTTTCCACATAATTTTTTCAGTGTTAAGTGGTTGTATTTGGGGGCCTGGAAAGGATTAATCTTATAACGAACGAATGCTATAACGAACGAGGTTCTGGAACCAATTAAGTTCGTTATAGCATACCCCACTGTATATATATATATAGAGAGAGAGAGAGAGGGGGGGGGAGGGATGGGTTAGCACACAGCCGCATAGTTAATGTGGAAATTATGAGATTGAGGAGGTTTATGTAAAGTGTAAAGTGATAATTATGCAGTAAACTATAATGGTGCAGTGTGATGGACGGCCGCCACTAGTCATGACTAGTATGATATTTGATGTATTTGCTCTTGTAAACAGGCTACCTCCATCAGTGACCAGGGGGCGTGGTGTTGGGGGCAGTTTCAGTTGTGGAGATTGTGGTGGTGGTAGTGACAGTGATGGCCATAGTGGTGGTTGTGGAGATACTGGTGAAGACTGATGTAGGAGGAGCGTTAGGTATTATTATAGTGGTAGTGGAGGTTGAATCCAGGAAAAAAAGGCACGGAAAAATCCTAACCTAATCTACGTGTAATGCCATCATATGGTGTTGTCAATGTGTACAAGTCGTGCCTTTTTTTCCTGTGACTTTATTTCCGTTCACCGTGGAGGTTAGGTTATGCTAGGTAAGTGTATTGTGCATCCCATACTCATGCTGTGGGCGGCAACGCAAAAGGATTACGGAGTAGAGGTCACAAAGGGTGTGTATAACTAACCCCCGTGTTCAGGATATTATGACATTGAATGTTACAGAGTATTTCAAATACATTCTTTGTTGAGATCTGTACATAGAGAGTAACTTATTCACAACTTCTTGAGTAAAAGCAGTGTGACTTAGTATGTCTGGCCACACACTATG